ACTGGTTCTCACCGGTGTATGATGTCATACTGGCGGGAATGATCGATTCTCAGGGTGGAAGGCTTGCCACATGTGACTTAGAATTGGAGAAATGTGATGTCATGTGATTGGTTTTCACCGGTGTATGATGTCATATTGATCGGAATGGCAGGTGGTTTTCATCGGTGTATGATGTCATATTGGAGGGAATGACCAGTTCTCACCGGTGTATGATGTCATAGTTGCAGGAATGATCGGTTCTCACCGGTGTATGATGTCATAGTGGCGATTCCCGTGGTGACATGATGTGACATGACCAGTGCTCACCCGGTGTATGATGCCATATTGGCGATTCCTGTGCTGACTCGGGCGGTTTAGAACCCAGCGAATCGGTGAAATGTGACATGACCAGTTCTCACCCGGTGTATGACGCCATATTGGTGATTCCCGTGCTGACTCGGGCGAGTCTCCGATTTTTAAATTACTCCCTAAAACTATAGGGAAATAAACATATTATGCTTAATAAACCATTGCGGATACTAGTTTGATATTTCCTAGTGCACTATTAATTACAATCCATACACGTTAGATAATATACTAAAATATCATATCTAAATCTCTTAAAACATTACGACTTCCAACTCTTAGAAGGGAAGGGAACTAGGGTGGACTCTACCAGATCATAATAGTAAGAAAACTAGGACTACAACATTGAAAAATAAAAAAGGAACCGACTATGCCGCAAAAGTGGCTTGAACTTGCCAGTGTAGTGTTATGCAACGCAGACTCGCATTATTGATAGATGGACGGCCTAAATTTTTTTTAGAATGTTCTATAAATAATGAAATGAGAGATAGAATCTCGAGCCTTAGAGACCCTAATCCCAAACTTTCGATCTAAGCCTGCAAAGCCTAGTTTTAAAACACCGTTTCTGCAACCACGTTCCTTTTCCAGCCATGAAGGAACCAAGAAACCTTGAAGAAGATTAAATCCAAAAGTCTTGAAAGCATAAACCTAAAGGCCTTTTCCATTCTAATCTAATTTGTAGATAAATTATTTTAGTTAATTGTCTTAGGATGGATAAGGCTAATAAACATAAAAGTGTGGTCTGATCCGGGCTTCTAATCTAAGCGCTGAGCCAATGGACCTGACTCCAAATAAGAAGCAATTTCCTTTCCTTTGTCTCTTTAATTTCAGTTATTTATTTTTCTTTTTGAGTTGTTGTTTTCGTGCATAGATTACCCTGCGCTGCTGACAATTCAAGGAACCATTGGTCCTTTGAGATTGATTTGTCTTCAGATTGCAATTCAACATAGACGCCGATTCTCTATCATTTTATTTAATTTTTTATAACATTTAGAGCATTTATAGGAGAGGAAGTTCTTAGGCATTTCTCTTAGATTTTGTTGTAAACACCCTGTAACCCCACGAAACTTAAGAGACCTCTAAAAATCTAGAGAACCTAGACTAAGCCTCAAGTAAACCAAACCTGGTGTCGAGTTCAAACCCTAGGCTTCTTTAGACCTCAATGCATAAACTCCTCAAATTCAAGTTTAAATGTTTCTCTCGTTCAAGTAGCTTCAAGTGACTATGGAGAAAAGCCAACATGAGCTCACCTTGTCTGATCTGTGCCCCAACTATGGATGTTGGGCATATGTGTCTAGCTCACACCAACTAAAACTCTTTTCAAGCATTCCAGTGTTGTTTGAGCGAATATCAAGCATGCGCAACGGACAAATTATGAAATGAAAGCTATGAAACCAACTTCTTACAATTTGTTATTTGATGGAACCCATTCTCACTTTCGATCTCTTTATTTTATTTGTTTAATGCAAATCAAGACAAAGTAGACTACAAGTCATCTCGCCTTCCATTTTCAGGTATGAACAGTTAGGCACCCACCTTGGGGTCCATTGAGCTCGAAACACCCAAAACCGGCGTTAAAGCTTAGAGGTTGGCAAGTCGGAGTGAGGATGATACAGGTCAAGAGGGTGAGTGTGAGAGAATAGAGAGGAGAAGTGAACCAAAGGTGTGTTAAGGAGTGAAAGACCTTGATCCTCACGTTACGAGACTATTTATCTTTGTTATAAAGAGGTTACCATTACTTTTAATCATTAAATATCAAATTAGACGACTTGAGTTGTGTCACGAAGTAGAATTTTTTTTTAAACTTTTAATCTAATCAGTCACAATCTTAATACCACCCAATTTAAAATCTATCAACAAAAGTTTTTGTTACCTCCTTATATCAAAAGTATCTTATAGTTTCTTTTTTTGTAATCGGATAAATTTTCCTTAAGGATAAATTTTTTACAGAACCCTAATTATCTATCTTATTTCATGGTCGACCCTCCTTCCATTTTTTTTCAAGCATCATAAAGAAATCTTTATGAATTTCACCGTACCCTTCATCTCTTATCTCCCTAAATTTATTCATTTTTTACCATAAAAATCAGCCTCAACAAACTGTTTTATATCATTTCAACCAAAAAATGTTTCAAGAACTTTTTTAACCCAAAAACTTTTTTAACCCATCCCATTATATCTTTAATCCAAAACGTTTCAAAAATATTTTTTATTATAATTTTTTTCTTTTCAGCTCAATGCCACGATGAGGGCTTCTTATCTCTCTCATATTAAGTTGAAATGGTATAAAATTTTTTGTTGAGACTAATTTTTATGATCAAAAGCGAATAAATGAGGAAGATAAGAGATTATGGGTAGGCTGAAATCCTTAGGGATTTTTTGATGTCGCTTAAAAGAAAAATAGAAAAAGAGCCTACCATGAAATAAAATGAAAAATTAAAGATTTTTTGATTCTACTTAAAAAAATAAAATAAAAAGAGATTCTACCATAAAATAAAATGAAAAATTAGAGCTCCATAGGAAATTACCCACAAGCACTCTTTCCTTCTCGCAAGTGCCGTAGAAACGAGCACTCTTTCTTTAACTTGCACGTGCCAGAGAAACATTAGCGCGGTAACCGTGATTGGTGCTTTCGTTCTATTCACGGACGGCCGTGGCCAAGTACCCTGGTTTACACTTTCAGGTTCATATAGAAACAGTTGAGATGGTAACTCTAAATCAAGGGGCATGGCGGGGCCTGCGTCTTACACTGCAAATCAAGGTTTTCGTGAACAGGGAAGATGGATAATTTCATGGATGGTAATGGAGAAACTGTATTTCTCCAGGTAAATTAGGGCTTTTGTGAACATAGGAAATCGATGGATATGGGCGAGGTCATGGTAGACTGGTTTTCTGGTGCTTTGTAATTGCGAATTTAGGTTTTTAAGAGAAGAGAAGATGGCGACCAGGGCTAGGTCATGGAGGACTGCGTTTCTTACTCTGAGGGACGAGATGCTTACGTCTCCTGCTCCTGCAACTGTTTTATTGCTCCTTCGAGACCTTCTCTCTCAAGCCAAATCCATATCGCCTGCAGCTCCACATCTTCCTTCCCATGAAGTATGAATACCCTACCCTAATTCTTTCTCTACATTGCACGTTCTCATCAGTTTTCTGCAGCAATTATAAGGATTGATGCAGGGAATAGATTAAGGCTGCTCGGATGCATTGGCTCTCGTTTGTATTCACATCACTGTTTGTTGATTTATCTTCAGGAAATTGGAAAAGAGGAATTTTGTAAAAGTAGAAAATGTTAGGAAATCACTCATACCTCTAGAGATCGTTTGGATATCTGGAAATATATTGTCTGTAAAATATATGACTGGCGTAATACATTACTGCATATACATTACCATAGATTGTTACTGTTTTGGGTAGTATTTAGATGCAACTTGGGAATATATTAATGGCGTAATACATTACCATGGCTTGTTACTGTTTGGGTAGTATTTAGATGAAATTTGGGAAATATATTGCTATTGTTGGGCTATGTGTGGAAGAAATATAGGAATCCATTACCAACATGTTACAAGCACTCACTTATAAACTATCATTTCTTTCTTTTGTTACAAAATTCCACCGAAATGCGGAATTAAAGTCATAATTACACAATTCCAAAAAGATTTTCTAATAATAACATCATCACCATTCTAGAGAGAGAGAGAAAAATAAAAGTATTAATAATCACCATTCCAAAGACAGAGAGAACGCAAAATATTGATATTAATCATCATCATTTTAAAGAGAGAATGAGAACGTGAAATAAAATTGTCATTGTTCCAATAAGATTTACTAATGTTATCATACTCTGTTTAATTTCAGCAGTATGTAGCTCACCTTGATTATAAAAAGAATGCGCCAAAATTCATATAAGAGAGTATCAAAATAATTATTGTTGTTCATATCAGATATAACCTAAACTCCAAAGAAATTTCCTAAATTGTAAAGAGAGAGCCCATATCAGGATTCAGAAAAAGAGCTCGAAAAACTCAAGAGAGAGATTCCCAAATGATGAATCATACAAAAATCTCAAAAGAAATTCCATAGAGAGATACCCACATACAAAAAGCAATTATCATATAACCAAAACCCAAAAAGAAAAACGATTGACCTTATGAAATAAATATTGGTAACTACTGTGTAATAACCCCATGATCAAGATTTTTGAAACCTTTCATAATTACTGATTTATGTAAACTAAAATAACAAGACCGAGCCAAATCAACCTATAACTTTATTGATTTTATGAAACTAGAGTAACAAAGAACGAACCAAATCAACCTAATCTTACCTCTTCAAATCAACCTCTTTGGCCTGTAAGATGTTTACTGTTGGAAGAATCATTTACCCACCAAATCCTACTTTTATAGGGCATTAGAAAAAATGAAAGCCCTAAATTTTTTAGGGCAGATTTATGTTATAGAAAAATAAGTAAAAACCTAATTTTAACATAGAGAGAGAGGAATTGCTCTTACTTGGACACGGTAAGAGAGACAGATACTGACTTCGAATAGGGTGAGAGAGGTTGCTCCAAGAGAGAGAGAGAGACAACAATTTTGTTGAGGTTGCTCCATATTTGTTGCTTCGAGAGAGAGAGGTAGCAAATTTGCTCGCAGAGGTTACTTGCACGATTTGCTTGTACAGAGAGAGAACACAGAGAATGGAGGCTCGAAGAGGGATAGAGAAGAGAGGTTGAGTTAGCAGCGAAGGGATTTGGAGAAATGGCGCGTAAACAATTACCTGTCACATCCTGTAATTAATTTCTTACCTTACCCACGTGTAATAGTTTTTACGATATATGGGGAAATGATGTGTAATCTATTTTCATTTCCTTACTCTTTAGATGTACCCAAACACCGAAAATGCTAGATTTTCTTGTAATATGTTTCCTTGTAATGGATACTTGGAACGACCCCCTAGAGTTTACTTGTCCTCTGAAATTCCAAGATTTTTTCAGAAATTTGGTGATTTTTCACTGAAAATATGTAGAAGAGTAAGAAGTTGCGAGTTGTTCGATTTGGTTAGAGGATTTGTACTACCAAATTAAAAAGTGTTAATACTTCTATAAGCAGGAAACTTAGGTCTTTTCTGATAACATGGTCACAACATTATATAGTAATGAACACACTTTCAAATTTTTTACTTGAAGAATATGTTATATTCTTAGTTGATTTATGTATGGATTAGCCTAATAATATATGGTTTTTTTTCTTGATATTGCTGCACTTTTAGTCTGTCAAATTGTTTATCTGTTAAGCTGGTTTTGTTTTATGTGCCTTGTGACAGTTGTTGCAGACTTTATAATTTTGTTATATTCATGCTTTCAGGTGGCATCAGATGTGATGCTACTCGTGCAATTGTTGGGTAGCCTACCAAAGAGTGTGGAAGCATCTGATGTGTTTATTGATATCTGCCATTTGGTAAATCTCATTGTTTGGTAAATCTCATTGTTTAACCATGTCCTATAACTTGCATTGGTTTCCATTAATGGGTTTACGGTGGAATAGGAATCCATTCTTGATGTTGATTTTGTTTATTTAAAAAAGTTCTTGCTGTTAATGATACTCCAATGTTTCTATCAAGTTTTGCAGCTTACAAGTATCATGATACAATTATTTTAAGAACATATTCATATCATCCCTGGACTATGACAAAATAGATGGAATACAAGTTTAGTAATAATAAGAGTAGAAATGAGGAAGTAGTTAAGATTGATGGTCAAGAACTACCTAAAAGAGATTGTTTCTGATATCTAGGGTCAATAATCCTGGAGAATGGAGAGATTGATGAAGATGTCGCACATAGAATTAGAGCAAGGTGGGCGAAGTGGAGTTGTACATTTGGAGTTTTACGTAATCGCCACATAGCATTGAGACTGAAGGGGAAATTCTATGGGACGGTTGTAAGACCAGCCATGCTTTATATGACAGAATGTTGGGTGGTCAAGAAGCAACATATTTATAGGATGAGTATAATTGAGATGAAAATGTTGAGATTGATCATTGGCAAGACAAGAAAGGGTAGAATTTGGAATGAATATATGCGGGGGAAACTTAGGTGTGTCTTCAATAGGTGATAAGATGAGGGAAAGTAGACTTTTAGTGGGTTGGCCATGTGCAACATAGGCCTAATACAACATTGGTTAGGAGGTGTGATTTAGTTCAAGTGGAGGGCTCTAAAAGGGCAAGGGGAAGACCCAAAAGGATGTAGATAGAAGTAGTAAAAAAAGATATGGTCTTTTGTTCTTACTGAGTGTATGACCATAGAGAAGAATGGAAGAACATGATTCATGTAGCCAGCCCAAATCATTGGTATAAGGATTGGATAGTGACATTCATATCATCCACGACATTGCTTGAATTTTTTATCATAGTAACGTTTGTTGATTGAGATGTTTTAAAGGGATTCACATGCTTTGTTGGGGTTCTGCGGCTATTTAAAGGCCTTGTGAGAGCATGTAAAACTTTGACTATAGTGATGTGATAACTCTAGTGGGAGTAGGGTCCGACAGGATAAAAATTTTATTGTTCAGAGGGACCAAAGGAGGCATTTCTAATGGCATTTCTAACTTGCATATAGGACATAGGTTTCGACGAGCTTGGTTTGGGTTGACATCTAAAAATAGAAAAAACCTTAGCCTTGGACATATGGCACAATGTGGAGGGTTTGTAGGGGCATCCCTTGATGAGGTCAGAGAGATGCTCAGGGTGGTCGGCCAGGGGACTGTGTGATCCCTGTGTTGATTGACTGGCTTGAGAGGACAAGGGCTCAAATCCTCATCATTGCCATTGTGTAGACACTCGGTCCCCGGCTGAAGGAGTCTCAGGAAACTGAAAACTTGGAACCATAGATAACCTAAGACATCCCAGAAACACATACCTTAGGATTACTAAGTACCTCAGAATCAACCTGTACACAGTCCATATAAACTAGCACCCTGAAGCTCTAGCTTTTTGCACCCTTCAGAAAACAGTCTTTCGGGCCTAAATTTGATTCCAAATGAAAGTAGAGGTCACAAGCTTTCCAATGGCTCAAGAATCGCTCTGATATGATGTATGCTTGAGAGCTATGGCCCTTGAGAATTCGTTTGAGAAAATGACCATTTGGTCCCCATCGAGGCTACTGCCAACTCTGGAGAGGGGACCACCAACGCCACAGATCTGAGGACCCCAACGCCAGTGTGACCAACCACAACACCCAGGGACACAGCGTTAGGTCCCACAAACCAAAGATGGAGGTGGCAACACTGTCAATAATAGTGTATAAAATGATTGTCTGAACAACTGGCTTGAGGACCCGTCGGAAAATAAGGCCCGAAGAGTCATGAGAGCACAACGTTGGTGGCGTGCTAACGTTAGTGTTGGCGATGCTAACGCCACCCCTAGTCAAACTCAACGTCATGAACATTGACTCTGCAGCACATATGATTGAATTGGAATGATTAAAACTCAGATCTGGTGTTGTCAATGCCAGCACTACAGGTAGCAATATTGATAAACGTCTCCTCCATATACTTCTGAAACAATGTTTTCATTAAATGAAAAGGACCAATAATTGAATTTGAATGACTACAACCCAGAGTTGGTGGTGCCAATGTCAGCACTGCGGGTAGCAACGCTGACTAAACTTTTCTCCATACACCTCATGAACAATATTTTAATTAATTTGGATGGACAATCATTGGAAATGAAATCATAAAAGTGAGATTTGGTGATTCCAATGCTAGAGTTGGAGCTAGCAACGCTGGAGACATGAAAGGACGACTGCTTCACCAGTGCCAACGCCCACGTTAGAGGCAGCAGTGTTGAAGAGGGTATGGCGTTACTGTCAGTGCCAACACCAACATTGCTGACAGTGACGCTAAAAATCAGTGAACCCAATCGACACATGACCACAAAAATAGTGTTTCCATTAATGAAAAAAGACGTTTTGGACATGCCTAAATGAATCATCAACAACGTTGGCACTGTAGACATGACTTTGAAATGATGATGGTGCATTAGTGGCAACATTGGTGGTGCCAACTCTAGCGTTGCCACCGGTGGCTTTGGGAATCAACGGCCCAGATTGACCTGCAATTTTATGACACTATTTAATGAATGTTTTTCTATAAATAGGGGCCATGGGCTCCGAATTTGAGCAACATTTAGAGACTTCAAACCTTAGCCAAAACTCTGTCACATCCAAGACTCAATCCCCTGAATGAGCTAAGCCCGAGTCTTAATCTTGACATCCTAAAACCCAAATCTCGACACTATCACATACCAATCCATCTGATATAAATATCTTCTACCCGACGTACTTCAAAAGACTGGAAAAAGTCAGCGCACCAAGCACGATTCTGAACTGGCCACCAACTCCGGGTGCAGGGCCTGGGAGCAGGGCTTAAGGTTGGCTTTTTGTTCCTTTACTTGGTTATTTTTTGTCTATTTCAAACCTTTTTTCTCAAATATCCTCATCTCTTATCGAAAACTCTCTTTTTAAAATATTCTAGTGGATTCTTAGATTTTTCTCCCCTCAAGCCGGTTTTTCCAACAGTCAGTACAAGAGCGGTCCGACAAACTAACCCTCACTTGGGTTATAATTCGACGGGACCCTTATCCTCTACTTTTTCTATAGACGAGTTTGCATGCGAAAATGAGGCGGAGGGTGGATTTCCTCTACTGAAATTTTCACGTATAAATGGTGGGCGTCAGAGTGTGAAAATTCCAGTTGAGAAAATACAACCTCCACCTCATTTTCGCGTGCAAACTCGTCAATAAGAAAGGTAGAGGATAAGGGTCCTGTTGAATTGTAAGTCGGTCGAGGATTCAGTCATCGACCGTTGATTCCCAGCGCCACCGATGGCAATGTTAGAGTTGGTGCTACTAACGCTAGCACTATTGTACCATCAATCATTTGAAAGTCACGTCTACAGTGGCAACGCTGTTGATGAGTCACTTAGGCGTGTCCAAAACGTCTTCTTTCATTAATGAAAACACTATTCCGGTGGTCATGTGTTAGTTGGGTTCACCGATTTCCAGCACCACTGTCAGCAATGTTGGCATTGGCACTGGCAGCGGCGTCACACCCTCTTCAACACTGCTGCCTCCAACGTGGGCGTTAGCGCTGGCGTTGACAGAGCTGGCTTCCTGTTATGTCTCCAGCAGATCGAACTTCAACTTTGGCGTTTACACTATCAAATCTCAATGCAATGATTTCATTTTTAATGATTGTCCTTCTAAATTAATAAAAATACTGTTCATGAAGTGTATGGAGAAGACTTTAGTCAGCGTTGCTACTTGCAGTGCTGGTGTTGACACCACCAACTCTGGGTTGTAATCATTAAAATTCAATTATCGGTCCTTTTCATTTAATGAAAACATTGTTCCAGAGGTGTATGAAGGTTACTTTGTTTAGCGTTGCAACCCGTAGTGCTGGCGTTGGCAACACCAGATCTAGGTTTTAATCATTCCAATTCAATTATTTGTGCTGTAGAATCACTCTTCAATACATATGAGTTTGACTGGGGCTGGCATTGGCACCCCCAACTTTAGCGTTGCCGCCACCAACGCTGCGCTTTCGTGACTTCTCGTTCTTTGTTTTTAGGCGGGTCTTCAGGCCAGTGGCTCAGATAATCATTTCGGACACTGTTGCTGCCAACGTTGCCGCCCCCATCTCAAGCACTGGGGGTCCCAACGATATGGCTTTAAGCATTGCTGGTGGTCATGCTGGCGTTAGGACCCCCCTGTTCTGTGGCGTTGGCGCTACCTGTGCCAGCGTTGCCTGTGGTCACGCTGTGGACTAAATGATCATTTTTTTGAACAAATTCCGAAAGGCCATAACCCTCAAACTGTACATCGTATCAGAGCGATTCTTGAGCCGTTGGAAAGCTTGTGATCTCTACTTTCATTTGGAACCAAATTTGGGCCTGAAAGACTGTTTTTTGAAGGGTCCATAATGTTCGAGCTTCAGGGTGTTAATTTCCATGGTTATGGATGTTGAGATTGTGTACAAGTTGATTTATGAGGTATTTGATGATCCTAAGGTCGATAGTTTTGGGATGGTTTTAGGTTCTTATGGTTTTAGGTCTTCGGTTTCCTGGGACTCCCTCAGCTGGGTATGGGGTGTTTACCGGTGCGAGAGCGACAAAGACATTGCATAGCATGTACACTAGATAGCCGTCTGGAAGCAGCAGCAGCCTATTGGGGCATATTATGTACATGTGTGGAAGAGATGACCCCTTGCCCCATTATGATAGTGTGCAAAAGTTGTATGGGATTTGGACTAGTCCTCAGGGGGAACATGGAATCTATGGACTAGAATCATGTTCTCCTCATTTATTGGCTGACTTTGATGGACCAATCATGAACCCCTGCAATAGGCTGTGGGTCATGGGTTCAATTGGATCAGTTTGAAAAGATAATTGTAGTTCATGATT